AATAAATAACTATCTCCCGTAAGACTGCCTTTGCCTTTTACTTAAGTCGCGCGCTACATTTGCAGTCATAATTAGTGAATAAAAAAATACTGAATCTCTATAGACGCGCAATTGCCGCGCCACTGTGGCGCCATTTGCATTACTTTTATAAGCGTCTATAGTCTGTCTTTTTGAAAATGGAGTAAAATGACATTTGAAATTTGAAATAGTTATGTAGTTGTTGTCGATAGTTTTATCGATAGATTGTGAAAGATGCTAAACATTTGCCAAAAATGACTGAACTGTGAATGTTACGACGTCGTAATGATTACTTGCTTTATTGCATTCTTTATTTTTATTTTGACAATGGGCCTACGAGTATCGAGATCAATTTTTATTCATATACATTTTAACAAGAATAGCCAGACTTGATTATCTATATTGAATTAAAATGAAAATCTACAAACACGGAAGGAGACGTCGTGATGCGCTCGATAATTGTTCGGGTATTACACGGCACTTCACCTATTGCTAATGTTCACAGTAGAAGTTACTTTATAGACCTAGACTAGACTAGACCTACACTAGACCTCCCTGACGCGGCGCACGGTACGTTACCGCTGCGGGGCGCGTCTCAAGAGAGAGTGAGTTTTATGAATGCTTTCCAACTATTACCGGAAACGTGAATGAAGTTTCGGGCAATAGTCGTTTTGTATTTTTCATAAACATAGTTCGAAATACGGCGTATGTATGTATGAACTTACAAAAATTGGCAATTCAAATGAACTTGTGCTCAATAATTGGATGATTAATGGTCGAGGATGATTGAAATGAAACAAGTTCGGCTATTTATTCCATAAGCATGACCAATATCCAGTCGATAGTCGATAGAATATTTATCGATTGCAATCACTAGCTGCTCGCAAGCGGGTAACACTTTTACGCAATTAATTTATCGAACCATCTGAGCCATGGGTACAGTTACCGAGTCGTCGAAGTTCTCCTATGTGTTTTTGTTAAAGACCTATGTACTGACTTTTCGGCATTCGTAGCCGCTAGTGACATCTTAGGAGGGATTTTCGAATAATCTTCTCACTGTGTGGCTCAAATGGTTAGAGCAATGCTACGGTGCAGCATGTATTGTATTCATAATAATAACAAAACTAGTGGAATTATTTCACAAAAAATCTCAATAAATTAAATTGTTTTTACTATATTTATAATAAACTTATAGAATGTAATGAAAAACTCATTGTTGGATAATAACTACTGTACGCGGCAGGAGACACTGACTTAGTTTCGCATACAACTGTCGTGGTCACTTAAGTCTTTTAAAAGAAGAGACTGTTGGTTGATGAAGTTAGGGCAGTTGAAAATAATGTGCTGTAAGGTAACGATGAAACTACAGAAGTGTTGCAGGGTTTTCAGTCGAAAATTACGGGCTGCAAAAGTTACATTTTCATTTTTGAAATCAAAGTCCAAGTATCAACCCAAACCTATATTTATATATGCATGAATCCTACAATTTTTTTTTTTTATATTTAATACTTATTACTTATTCTTCCAAAAAGACAGACTATAATTTGAAGGCGCCCTTAATCAGGTAATTAAAACTAAATTTAAAAGGGGCGGAGCGTACAAACGAGGCTTTCGTCATTAGGCCAATATTATCAAATTGTACACAACAAGAGCCGTAATGACCTACAGAAAGAAAGCACGAACCCCGACTATCACTCCCGGCCAGCTATGCACGGTCAACGTGAAAAAATTCATAATAAAAATAAGCTTAATTATTATTTGTGTACACAACATCTACTTTGGAATAAATATACCGGGCTTCTCGCGGCTGTCTAAAAAGTAAAGGAAAATACTTTAAATAATGTATATACGAGTACAGGATATTTTGCTTAATGGAGACATTGTTATTTTTAAAAGTAAGTAATGCTGCATTTACGCACATGCAAGACTTTTAAAAAGGTGCTTGCCCCACAGCCGTAGTACACCCTGTATAATATAATAAATGGGTATACAGTGTTTTTTTTTACTTGGGCATCGCATAGTAATGAAAGGCGCTTTGGACCAGCTTAAACAATATTGGCACAAAGATCTGCAACAACGATATAGAAAAATTCGCAACGTCCACTAGTTTGTTCCGTGTCTTAATTGGCATAGCATCCGGCACTGTTTGCTAGAAGACGTCGGTTCGAATCCAGGCGGCTCGAAGAAATTTATAAAAGAAATAAATTTATTAGTCAAAAAACAGAATTGTACTATACACGAATACCTAAATGACAATGTTTAAATTGTTTATATCTACACAAATAGATATAGGTATAAACAAGTGCAAATAAATAAAAATATTATATTGATTATATGAATACACGTAATACTAAAATATAATGTACTACATTATATTATGTCATGCCATGTCATGACATGCCATGCCATGCCATACCATGCCATGCCATGTCATGTTATGTCATGTCATGTCATGTCATATCATATCATATCATATTATATTATATTATAAAATAATTATCTCAATTATTACATTTTCAAAAATGTCTCTCTTGCCTCTGCCAGACCATAAATGCACTCTGTATATATTCTTAACATTATTAAAGTATTGAGTATCTATGGAACTTATTGAATTTCTACACAAAACTACTTTAAAAAGCGTCGCTCATTGTACCTTGTTTTTTTCGCTATTTAGAAAATATCCGTCCAAGTAGCAATCTCCCTTTGTCATAACCGTAAATCCCGACAGCATGTTCACCACTGTAGATTTGCCGCTTCCAGCCTGGCCGATCATACCGAAAACTTCTCCTGGTAAATTAAGAAAAAATTACAACACAGCAATAACATCGGGTTTTTCAATAGAGACGTAACAATTTTGTATTTCAATTAAACACCTAATAAGTTTGATATCGAGCTAAAATTAATTCCAGTACCATCGAGTATATAACTAGAAATAGAGACGAAATGTCATTTAATTTGTTTGAAAACTATTCTGCGAAATCATTACAGTGACAAATGCGCGCCGATTGGCCAGCCCGAATCCGAAACAATGGAAATCGACCAGTTTGACTTGAGCTTTGCTATAATGGCGAAAATTTAAAAATTACATATTTAATACTTAATTACCGATGAAATGTGATTCCGTTTGTTTTTTTAATCTTTAATTATATAGGAACGTTTATACATTGTATATGGCAGTGCCCTCCTATCCTAAACTATAGCTTACATGTCTGGGCAGCGCTGTTGGAGAGCCGATTCAACAAATAGTAGGTAATTCACCCCATTCAACATCCCATCCCTGATCACGATCATTTTATAAGGTTCAATTTACATCGCAGTGGAATGGAAGGAAAATGATTATATACAATATTGTACAAACTAGATACAACACGGCAGTTGCGAGAATTCCCGAGCGCTGCGTGAATTCTCTGGAAAACATGAGACCTGTTTTTTGGCTCATATATATATTTGCACGTTAAGCAATTGACATAAAGTTAATTATGCTATGGTTACTAAAATTTGCTTTCATTCCGCTACGCAGTAATATAAATTGAACGTAAGGGCCAGCGCAAACCGGCAGACGGGAAGGTGCACAACTTTAACGGATCCTTGTAAATTTATCTAATACGCAAAAGATACTCAGAAAAATTGTCTTTATTATAAACGTTGCTATGCGACCGTACTTATGTTCAACAGTTTGTTATAACGACATTATTATAAAATATACCGATATATTACGCGTAAGTTGTAGTAAGTCAAAATACCATGTTTGGTTTTTTAACTTAAATATATCCTTATTTTAAGCATATTACAGGTTACATATTTAAAAGTAAAGAAATCACTTAGAGTCTTGTTTACTTTCAAACATAGAACCTATGATATACAAAAAACTTACCTGGGAGGTATCAATATATATCTTACGTCCGCCGATTTAGCTGGCTGTAACTCCTTGTTTATTTTCACACTCTCGTGTGCAAAGCATAAATAAAATTATGAAAAATATTACCGTTTCTAACAGCAAAATTAACTCCCTTTACATCGCAACACTGATAACCCAACTTGGAAAACATCGATCTGCAACGTTTGTGTAAATTCTGCGCAAGAAACACTACAGGGTCGTCTTGTCTTTCTGAAATATATTTGTAATAAAGGTCATCATTATCGTCAACCCATTTCACTGCGGATTGGGTATCTTACAAAGTTTGTGAACCCTCTTCGACGTGCACGTTTCCATATCCAGAGATATAGCTACTTGGCGATGCGCGACTTTGAATGTTACTAATACTTAGTAGCAGTAGAGCTCCTTGTGAAAGAGTTCGTCCAGAGACGTCCTGCTACCTTACCTATTTCTGCCGCCAAGCAGTAATGTGATCATCAGGGTGACTGGCGCAGTGACAGGGCCCCTTAGATCTTTGCGATTTAAAGCTTTGAGTGGCGCAGAACTTCACTTCCCGTCACTTAATATTATTTAAAAAAATACTAATCTAAACTGTTCTGACTTGGTTAATTTGGACGGAATCTTTTTAAAGTCGTTCAAATATGTGTTAGTGCGTAGTGCATACCTCGAGTTAACCCCATTACGCTGAAACTTTTCTAACTAGCTAAGGACAAAGGTAGCTATTTACTGTATTAGTAGGCCGGGAAGGGTCACAATTTGGTATTTTTTTATATAATCACGGGCCGATACATCATTAATAATCTCGCCATTGCACGAACCGCACACTTTTGGAGTACGAATACTCTGTGCAGTCGGCAGTGTTTGCCCGCAGCTCCGTTCCATATGTTAGAACGGAGTGCACTGCGGCGACTAACGACGCCTCCGGTCGCAGTGTTCGCAAGACAACGCAATGCAAAACACGCTCTGCCTAGTCTGATATGCAGCTCCTCGATATTTGTGTCCCATCTGAGCCCACTGTCGATTCTAAATCCTAACAGTCGAGTAGATATCACCTGCTTAATGCCAGAGTCACCCACGCTAACTACTACTGCCTGTGGGGAGTGACTATTAAGTGAATTATCATTCACTAATTTGTCATTCGAATTACAGGATTAGTAATTACTAACGAGTCAAATATCGAAATAATTCCATTTCACATAGGATGGTTTTGGTTACAGTGACATTTCAAATTTTTACGTTGCATCCATACTATTTTTGCGAAATGTGTGTTCGGGGTGAAAGTCGGGTGAATGACCGCTATTGCCGTGCAATTTGGCACAAACTATATACATATATTTGAACTCCCGAATGCCATCTTATGCCAACAAAGATGTTAAAAGGCAATAATAGAGAATATCACATATTATCAATAGAGTGTGATTTTTTTAATAATAATGCACACACTTAACATAGCCTTGCACTAGGGAAACCCTGTCTCGCGGGTGCCATGGACACCCCGCATGGTAAACGTTCGGCCACGCAAGCATTTAAGTTTTTACTGGTACAGTATGGAAAAATTAGAAACTATAGGGAAACTGTCCCAAGAACCATTAGGTCTTTTTTTTATGAAAACTAATTTACTTTAGATTTTTTTTAATTTTAGAAATATAATTGCACATTACTATAATAATACAGTGATACAGTCAGTAGCAAAAGTCCATAGAGTAAATTAAGGCTTTATTGCTAAATTGGTTCGTCGCCATTCGTCGATCGTTACAAATTAGTCAACCTGCAAATTCCTGTGATCATCGTTGGTTTTGGTCAGTATAGGTACCTACGTATTGATCGTTTTACGAATTCGAATTACACGTACAAAAATTGGTCAACCTGCTAATTCCTGTGGTCACTGTGTGTTTTGCTCAGTAGGTATACGTATTGGTCCTTTTACGATTACATGTATAAAAATTATTCAATCTACAAATTCATAGGAAATGAAACTATTTTCCCGGATTTAAATCGCGTATATTTGTTTTTTCAAACAAACCGACGTTTCGGGCCCTTTACAGGTCCCATGGTCACGGTTGACTGAGGTGGTACAGTCTTAAACCAGTTATATCTAATATTTATTAGATTAGATTTTCGCAATTGTTACACATAGGAAATGAAACTATTTTTCCGGATTTAAATCGCGTATATTTGTTTTTTCAAACAACGTTTCGGTTCAGTCAACCGTGACCATGAGACGTCTCGGTTTGTTTGAAAAAACAAATATACGCGATTTAAATCAGGAAAAATAGTTTCATTTCCTATATACCAAATTTGTTTTTACAAACAAAATTGAATGGTTTCTAAGACATAATCCCTGTATCTCCTATGGTTTCGAATTTCCCCATATTGTCCCAGTTAAAAAAAACACTGTATATAAACAGTCAAGAGCACATCAAGCTGTTGTTATCACATGTGACATAGAGTCCAATTTAAATCTTAAATATCAAATTTCACATGGTCTTAATCCAGTACCAAATCTTCTTTCTAAATCAAATTATAAGTTGAAACACTTAGATAGGACAAAAACGGACATACCTTCGACTGGCAATGATTTAACTGAAAAAAAAGAAAAAAGAAAAACAGATGCTATATTTATTTATTGAATATCATTAAGTTTTACTACCACGGTTTTGATTAAGAATGTATTCAAAGTGAAATAAAATCGTTATTACTTAAATATCGGAATAAAATTGTTTATCTTTCCGGCATTACAAAGGCATTATCTACTCTACTGTGGTTTTAATTTTTTTTTCTAAATTACCACTACATCTTAAGGTAGTTTTTAAGGCCATTGGCAAATTCTGGTAATACAGTTCTCTCAATGAGGAATTTTTCTCAAATTTAACATTTTATTCGTGAACAAACAAAAATCTTCTAAAGGTCTAAAATAACGGCGCAATCTAATAACAAACACAAAAATCGCTCATTTCATGCTAGCTACATGGTCACACTACTTCCATACTAAATTTCTTGAAGAATGGTTTTGGTGACTACGGTAGAAAATTTTCAAATATAAAAAATAATAACTTCTAAACTGTTGATTTTCGAGGAACTAATGTGGTTTTAAATCGGCCGTTACGATGTCCGCTGTCTAAAAATTTTTTTTGGTCACTGCAAATGCGCCACCCTATATATTATAAATATAACCCTAAATCAATGCATTCATTCAACCTATGTGTTACCGCAACTGGCACCACACAAAGTAACCATTATATTAAATTTTAGTGTCCATGTTTATGTGATTAGCTCGTGTTTTCATTTAAATTTTTTACCCGACTGCGGGAGGGTTATGTTTTTCAAGTGTATATGTATGTGTGTCCATTTCCTTTCCACGCTGTACAGCCTAAACAGCTTGACGGATTTTGATGTAAGATGTCCTTACATTCGTCTTGATTGTAAGAGTATCATTGGCTATAAATAATAATCACAATAGTGAGGGGGAATATTATTTTATCTTTCCAGCTAAATATTTTTGTACTCGAGTTTTTGTTTTTTAAATAATTTATCTACTCACATATCATGAGCCCTATATGATGTGTTAGAAACCCGCAAATTACAACCAGCCTAAAGATAAACTGTTTTGTTACAACAAATTTCTTATCTGTCAAAATGTTATTATCTTAGAATAATAACGCATATAATGATAGTTTCATATCAAACGAACTGTCACAAGTGAGACAAAAATCAAATCAATGTAGGCTAGTTTTAGTAGTAGGTTAATTTTCGGTTTTAGTGAATATTTATATAAAAATACATGTCGAAACGCGTTACTTCCTTGTGGAATGTGATGTTAGTATTTATTTTATGTTTGTCTAACGTATTTTTACACTCATTAACCGCACATTTCGTCATTTTTAGGTAAAATTCTTGATCTGTTCGCAGTGCAAGTTGACCTTGAGCACTGAAGGCCCGCCCGCTCGTGTAGGCCCATTGGGAGCGCTTCAATTTGCCTCACTTAGCGTGTGCGGACTAGGTTTCTATGCGTTATTATTCTAAGGTTATTATTGCATATTAATCACATCGAATTCGATTTTATTATTACATTCAAATTTCGAACATCTCTGAAAAACAAAATTTGATTCGACCTCATTTCTAATATCAGTCGAGATGAAGTTTTATTCGAAATGAAATGTCAATAGCATACAATTTTGACAAATTTCGCACGTTGCATCGTAAGTAACGATATCATAGTTGGGCCGGCTCTAATTTGTCTATGAATTAAATAAAAACTAGGGTCGTGTGACATGCGTGATATTTTAATAATAATATTAATATTAAAACACTCGTGCGATGTTTTTATGTAACTCGATTGTCTCGTATCGTATCTCGTATTTTAATGCCTTTTGTAAAACTACTATTTTACACCTGTTTTGGTTTTGATTGTGAGTTTGTTTTGTTATTTGTTTATGTTCCAATATTATTTCTTTTTTGTGGTGTCATTTGCAGTAAGCACATAAAAGTATCTTTCTATCTAGACCGTACATATTACACACCAGCTGCAGCTCCGAGGTGCTAAACCGAAAATAAGTTACCCTAAAAATTCCAATTACGACAGTAAATGACAGGAAAAATGTTAAAATAGTAACTTACAATAGGCAAACTTTTCCCTAACAAAGGTTTTTTCCTCTGCTACATCGAAGCCTATGTTCTTGCCCCGTCGAAACGGAGGTGGCTCCTTATATGCGATATTAATTAATTTGTCTATTGTCCGCTGCAGTATTCTAGTTTGCATTAGCATAACCAAACTCTAAAACAAAAAAATTATGTATTACTAAAAGAATTATTGGGACTATTTTGAAAGACAGATAAGTAAGCATTTTTATTTGTAGAATATCATAACAGATAGATAGATAAAACATTTATTGTAGCTGTAGAGCTCCTTGTGAAAGAGTTCGTCCAAGGAAGTACTGCCACCTTATCTATTTCTGACGCCAAGTACTAATGTCAGCATTACTGTGTTCCAGTTTTGAAGAGTAACGATGCTGGTGAAATTATAGGCACATAGGACTTGTCAACTTATGTCTCAGGGTGACGGGCGCAGTGGCAGTGCCCCTCAGGACTATGCGATTTAAAGCTCTGACTGGCACTGCAACTGTTATGGATAGGCGTGAAGCTTACCATCAGGTACGCCATACGCACGACTTATTCCTCCCGTCCCGTGATATTATAAAAAATAAAAGAAAAAATTGATTTTCATCACAAACACAACAATTAATACAGTAAATGGATTAAAAGAGAAACACAGAAATCAAAAGTATAGAAAATAAAATAAAAAACAAACGGCAAGAAATTAAATTAAAAAAACAATACCAACCTTATGATGTTTTACTATCACGATAGTTATTATTTCATTCTAAAAAATCGAGACAATCGTATAAATATATTGTAATTACTTGACTTTTTTTAATTACAAAATTACATATCGTTATGGTTTCAAACTTTTATATCCGTGGGATCCAGTCATCAGCAAATGAAAGCGATATCAAAAATCGTCCGATAAGTCGCCGGACATCGTTCGATCTAGTGACAACTCTGGTGCAAAAGTAAATAATGAAGACCAAGTACAGGTCATTAGAAAAACTCGCACAGTTAAAAGATGTTGACATCGAGACCATGGACGCAACACGTCCGAAACGTCGAGGTAAATAAAATATTATTTTCATACGTATTATTAAGTCTCGATTTTTTAAATCAAATAAAGTGTGAATCAAAGTTTTAATGAATGTAATATCATGACAGTCATATTATATTTTTTGTGAAAATAACGAATAACATAAAGGAAAGTTCTTTCGATCTGACTGGGCTCAAATCAACGTCTATGCCATACCGGGGCCACCGCTCTTACCAACTGAGCTACAGGCCGCGTCAGCAGATCTTACGAATTTCTCCAAGTGCTTGTTGTTACAAATCTTTGTATTGGGCTTAAATGCGCTGGTTCAAGTAGATTCAGATCCAAGGATTTTTTGTGTTTTTCGATCTTTGTATAAATAATAAGGACATAAGTATGTCAAAAATATTGATGTCAAAACTAACCGAATATTGCTTCTTTTAGTTATTACTATGTACAAATATGACACCCGAGTTGATTATGTTCAAAAACGGAGTTCTAATTTTTTTTCGAAAAATTTGTATGAAACTTGTATGAAAAATCGAATTATCTTTTAAACGGCAAGGAAAACCGTAATATCCTATAACAGGTGGTTATAGCACTAATTATTTATGATTTTTTGGCATACTCCAGATAACGGTCATAAATGCCGTTTTTTTTTAAAAACCATCAAATAATTTTTATTGAATTTTACATGTGAAACGAAATGATTTAGTCTTTGAGTTGAGGAACACAAACTTTTTACAACACGTAACATAAAATACTATCACCCCTATAGTCCCAAAGAGTAGGCAGAGGCTTACAGTATACCCACACTTAGACAAATGTTTAGTTTTATAATGAGTCTAAAACAAGTGATTAAGTAAGTAATTACAACGATATTGTCTTCTAATGAGTCAGAATAGGTGATTAAATGATTCTCAATACCGCACAACAATGCCAAATATGGACTTAATTAAGTTTTTTCTTTTATTTACTTACACATATTTTTTAACTCGTATGAGGGTAGTTAACTAATTATCGACTTTTTGCAATAAAAGGGCTAACATTTTGCTTAATAATTTATATCGTTCACAAATTGCTAACATTAAATCTTTGCTCAAAATTTTAAAATGGACAGTTTAATCACCAATTTAGACTTGTTCGTTCTTCTAAAAAGTGAGAGTACTTCATTTAATCATGAAGTATTGTTTGGTGCTGTTGTATCCCGCATAGGCGATTGCCTTTCTGATGAAGATCAAACAACTCTGAAAGAGTTTTGTCGGAGATTCACGCGAGCTGCTTTACAGAGGTGGAAGAAATCCAATCGATTCATTGATAATTTCAGAAAACTATACGGGAATTGGCTGCAAGCAAATATTGATTGGCCAAGTTGTGTGCAAACTTTACTTCATCAAGAACCAACTGCTGATGAGTTGCCAGACACACACTCAGTCTCGCAAGAACCGTCTACTTCATCGTGTGTTGGAACAATGACGAAAAGGTCCCGAAAACCATTCGAAGATCTGGGAAGCAAACAAAAAAAGAGAAGATCTGATCATGCAGGCGAAAATTCCAGTGAATTAGCATATGCAGCTGCAGCACGTTTGAAAGAAGAAGGGCATGATGATATCGCATCTGTAATCGAGTATATGATGAAAAATCCAGAAGCAGCCGTTACAAGTAATAAAACGCTTAAGAAACCATTGAAAACAGCCATATTTACACCAGAGAAAGCGCTTGGATTGCTTCTTTCACTAAAACTGTCAGAGTGGCAATATATTACGTTGCGAAAGGCTGCCATTCGGGAAGGTGCTAAGGGTATTTATCCATCCTACTATAAAGTGCAACAAACCAAGCTTGATTGCTATCCTCCGAAGCAATCAGTATCAGTTACGGATTCATCGGCCAGGATTACCCTTCAAGCTTTACTTGACATCACGGTGACTAGGATCCTT